TTTTCAGTGTCTTCATACGTATCTTAGAAGGATTTGGGAGAGAATTTGTATCTGTGGTTGTGACTCCAACACAATTTTAAACCTGATTGCAAACAACAACAAAAAAATCAGATTGGACTCAGATTTAAATATATTGTGCCATCTAGACTTAATATAAATGAACACTTAGTCCAAACATCACTTTATAGACAAGGGAAATGTGACACAAAGAGTCATTAGTCAATTTCTCAAAATCATAGCTAGTTTCATTCATGAAGTCTGTATACTTTTGGACCCAATATTTCCACTTCTGGGTATTAATCCTAGAAAACTATTGAGAAAGTACAAAGATAGTTGCATACATGTTTTTATCCTTGGAAAAAAAGTTAACAAAAGGACACAACATAAAAACAAAACCACATACCTAATAACTGAATGATACATGGTTGATTAAATAAAGTAGGAAAAATGCAGACAATGGAACACTGGACAACAATTAAGAAAAAAGCATCTAATTATATATGTTGACATGGAATGCTGTTCAGAATGTTACAAACATGATTTTATTATTGGAAGATGAAATGTACTCTAAATATTGCTGGGAGACAACGCTGTGGAAGTAAGTCTATGTTTTAAAGAAAGTTAAACCCAATATAAATAAAAGTCTGGTCCTAATAAGATATTTTACAAGTAGGAATACACTATTAACTTGATACTGAGTTGAGTAGTTCTTCACAGCATTAATAGTTTCTAACCCTTACAACAAAAATTAAAAGCAGCCCAAATACTGTCAAAATACATGCATCAGATTTTTTTTAAATTTTGGTTTTAACGTAATGTGATGTACTTACTTTAAAAAATATCAAAATTTTTGCCAAATAAGCATAAAAAATTCCTAGATTTTGTGTTTGTCTAGGCTTTTCTGTGGAGTTTCCTTTTCCCTCCACATATAGTAATAAGAGAAAATGGCCATCAAGAGACAAAAGTGAAGGCTTTCAAAGAACAAATCTATTCCTTAAATTGAACGATACAGTAATAAAATTTCTATATGGAAAAAAAAATCTGTCTCCTTCATAGATCTGAACACTTTATAGACTTTCCAAATGTGTATAAGCTCTGCACATTCAAATAGTTTTCCACTCTATGAAAAAAAGAAATGTACTACCAACAAACAAAAGCAAGCACTATATCTTAGCTCTTAAATCAATTTTTTGTTTCCTGTAAGGTTTTTAGATAAACTAGTACATACTATCTTTTCATTAAAGATATATGGCCACTACCAACTGAAATCTGAGGCTGAAATCCATGTTTCCAAAAGCTCCCCTTATAAGGAAAATCAACCACTAGAAAGATATCCCAAGGGCTTAATATTCCCGTCATATAGAGCTTTCAAAACAACTCCCTTAATGGACATCCAATGGCAAAGCCAATAAACCAAAATTTATAATTTTTATCCTCCTTAAACTATCTAGAGTTGATCGATTTTTCTTTTCTTTTTTCTTTTCTTTCTTTTCAAATTCTTTTACACTCTCTACTCCTTTGACTTGAGGAATCTACTCTTGCGCAATTCCCCCCAATTTCTATTTTTTCTCATTTGCTTCTGCTGATTCCTTTGTAACACAGAATCAAACAGTGGTATTTCCTAGATCCTTAATTCTCTACTTTTCTTTCTGTAAACCCACTCTTGTGTTGTGGCATAACATATACTTCATCCAATGACCCCAACATATCTCTCTCTTCTTCTCTCTTCCCAGTTTGCCATGTAGGCTATGTTCTGTTCTCAACAACATATTCAGACCTATTCTGAATATTCAACATTATTCAGACCTATTCTCTTTCTCTTTCAAGAAAGGTTTTTAGTCATTTCCCATCTGTACAAATACTACATTTTTTTTTCAAAATACTATGAAAATATCACTTCATCTATAAAGTTTTTCTCTCCCCAATAAGTAATCATTAATTGATCTCCATTGAGATATTTTTCTATAATACTTTGGTTACATTTCTTTGTTTGTTTGTTTTAAATTTTTTATTTAACTTCCAGTTAGATAATGTATAGTGTAATATTGGCTTCAGAAGTAGAATTTAGTGATTAATCACTTACATATAACACCCAGTCCTCATTACAAATGCCTTCCTTAACACACATCACCCACTTAACTATTATAACAATTGTCAAATGGAATTTTAAGGTTTTTAAATCCATTCATCTACCAAAATAAATTTTAAATTCTTCAAAGTAAAATCCACATTGGAGTTAGTAGAGTGTAAAGATAGTACAGAGTAAGAGTTACAACTGTGGCATGAACTTCAGAACCAAGCAAGTATCATCTGAGTCTCAGGTATCCTTAGCTTCCTAGTATGTAACCTCAGAGTTATCATCTGTGAAATGGGGATAATAATTACATCATGATGATGATGATGATGATGATAACATCATAATATCCTAACTTTACATAAAATATGTAAAGTGCCTAACCGAGTGTTTGGTAGAAAGTATTTGCTAAGTCAGTCTTAGCTCTTACTAATTATCCTTCCAAATTTACACAGGGTCTCATTCATCTTATGTTATCAATAAACATTTGGCAAATGGATTAATGAATGGATGATAGCAGAATATCAATAACTCTCCTATGCTTCTTTTATAGATTAAGTTATTTGAGGGATTCAGTAAGCATTACTGCTACCATCAGAATAAATTTTAGGTTTTAAAAAACAAAGATGCAGACAAAATTTCCATAAAACCAAATGCATATAGAGATAACAACAAACATACACAAAAGTAAAATGTTTTTGTTCTAAACCTTTCCAATTAATTTATTTTTCCTCACTGAACTTATGAAATAGGCTTATTATCACCTTGAAAGGTGATAATCAGGGGCTGGGTGCCCCTGAAGATACTTGGTAAGAGTAAAAAGTGGAAGAGAACATTATTGCAGGCTGCTACTCCCATGAGAGATCGATTCTGGGGACACAGGAGCATTCCCTCGGCAGACATGTTCCTAGACCTATTTATGGGGAGGAAGGAGGGTTGGTCTGAAATGTTATGGATACTTTGCCTGGACATAATGAAGAGGGGCAAGAATAATGAAGACTGGGCCCCAGAACAGGCATTATTGTTGTCCCAAACATGAAGTATCATGAGAACCTACATCAATGTTTAGCCAAGGATCACTCTGGGCTTATAACGCTGAAATATCCATGAATTTCTTGCCCTTGCTCTTCTACCCTCCAGTTGCCCTATGCAGGCTCAAGCACTCGTCACTTTTCTCCTGAAGTGGTGCCAAATCTTCTCATGTGGAGTCCCAGCAGCTGATCTCCAGGGCTCTCCCTACATGCCAATGAGCATCACCTTGAAAAGCCAACTCCTTCAGCTCAGATCTCTGATCTCTGGCTATTCATTCTTTTTGGGATCCTACGTAATCCTCTAACTTTGGCATAAATAGGATTCTAATTTACCATTTCAGTTTTATGTCTTCACACCCCTCTCCTTCCCAACTAGTCACCCTTCAGTCTAAATATATGCAGCCACTCACACACTTCTGCAAATAGGCCATTAAGTCTCACATCCATGTCTTTGCTTATATTATTCTTTCTTTGCAGAATGCTCTTCCCAACCTCACTGAACTTCATGAACTATGTGAACCACAAAAAATCACCATTTCTATAAACCTTCCATTTCTGTTAACAAATCACTTGCCCTGCTATGACTTTATTGCCCTCTCTTTTTTCCTGTGTTCACACCTACATTATTATAGGTTAAGTTGTTGTTTATAAATTTTTCACCCCATTAATTAATGTGCTTCTTGATCGTAGGTTTTAATTTAACTCATCTTCACTTGTCTAGGATTTAGCACACTTTCAGGGTCTATAAATATTTGCCGAATGGCTGCAGAATTTTGGGTGGAGCCAGGTTGAGGTAGAACTGAAGAAGAGTCTCCTCTGTCTTCACTTAAAAAAGATACAAACCCGAGTGTGACCTGAGAAGTGAATCAATGCCTTAATAGATCAGTTTATATACATTTTGTAGGCTAACATTTAAAGTATTATTTTTGGATGTAGTTTATGTAGGAATATTGGTTTGACATATTCAAATATCTTCCAGAAAAAAAAAAAAAAGGAAAGAAAGAATACCATTATTTTCGTATGTGCTTACTGTAACCAGTTCCTTTTTTTTTTGAGTATTACCTAAAGAATGACATTTTCTTGAATAACAATATAGATAATTAGTGAACAAAACCACAGAGTTTTGATAATGAAACATCTGAATTTCAATACAATTGTGCTTAAAGACCATTAATAAGTACACTGTGACACCACCCTGGGGCTGCTATCAGGTGCCAGTCATGGCCTCTGTTTATGACACTAGGTATTATGGGCGATGTCACATATAAGCCATCTCTAAAGCTCAGATACAAAGTGCAAAAATTACTTCCGTTGTGATGAACATCGATAGTTACCCCAAAGCTGGCCCCTGAAATTTCTCAGAGGTAATGAGTTTGTTTGTTATGGACAAAAAGAAAAATTTAAACTATTAGGAAACCAAATTTTTACCATGTACCTATTTCTTCCATGAAGAAATCTTTCTGGTTAAGGTACGAGTGTTCTCAGTAAAAATATGGGAAAGCAAATAATGTATTATTTCATCAGTACTTGAAATGGACAGTCAGTTACCAAATAAAAGCCACTATTCCAAATACAGTACAGACTATAGCAATAGTCTAAAAACACCTGCTTCTGTACTTCCTTAATTAAAAGCCACTATTCTAGCAAATGTGTTTTTATTAGGCAGTTCCATGAGCTTTTTCATTCCCTCCATTATATTTCCAGACACTCTAGCTGACTGTGGCGCATACACTTGTCGGTGAGCAAAGCAAAGGTTAAGTGTGTGTGACGCAGATGAGCCCTGAGATTAAGTATACACTGTGAAATGCATGTGGATGTTCATGACTTAAACCAATGAACTGTGGCCTGAAATGATGTCACACGAAGCGCAGTGGTAAGTGGAAGGTTAAACCTACTTGCATCTTGGCTCATTAAACGCAGTTAAAGTGCAAATCCCCTCATTCTGACAGTAGTGATCACAAGGGTTCTCTTTCTGGTCACAGCGCTGACTTTTAAACCCCACAGAGCATCTGCAGAATTTCAGTAAAATACAGCTAAATAAAGCGTCTGACTTTTTTTTCCTAAATATGTTTCAAAATTATTTCATACAGAGATAGTAACATACGAATAAAACTTCATCAGGTATGCTCATTTCTCTCTCATTCACACTCATCACATGCTACTTTGACAAGATGGGGACAGAACGTGGATGTGGATCCTTTGTGGATGTCATCCTTCTAGTTAAGCAGTGATAAAAGAAAACTCAAAATAGAAACCACGTAAGTGGAATGGTTTTATTTCAACTTGTCCATTCTGGACAGAGGGAAAAATACTAAATTCTAGATTTTTCTCATGAGCAGAGAATCTCCAACACTTTCCAAATGTTTAGAAACCCAGATTCAAGTTAATGAATTCCAAAGTGGATACAGCCTTAATAGGCTTACATAATACAAAACTCTACACCTGATACAAACATCAAATAGCATTATACATTTGAAGAGATACCACAAGTTCTTTTGGAAAGAATGGTTGTAAGTACCAAGTGTTCATAAATATGATTATGCCTGGGTTTCCCATATCTGAATAAGGTCAATGAAATTAGAGTAATTTTCCCTGGCATTTCCAAGTTCAAAGATCTATAAATGTCTTTAATGGGTATGATGCTAAGAATTGAATGAGCTCTTCCTTATGAAATTACTAGTAAATTGATGAGGGAGGAGATTCTGCAGCATATGAGCCACTAAGGAATAATATTTGATCAGAGATGTCCATGAAACATTCATTTAAAATGTATTATGCCCCCCAATAAAATGTATTACCCCAAGAAAGGAGAACAATAGAGGAGGGATTCCAAGTACATACAAAGTCATACCACAAAATGCCCATAACATCCTATAATACTCACAGACACACAGGTACATTTGTCTCAGGGTCCAGCTGGCATGTGCCACCATTGTAACAGTAACCATCACATAACTGACAGCTAGAGGCAATCTTTCCATTAGTGCAGCTGCAGCAACAAAGAAGAGAGAAATCTCATTGTTACTGGCATCATTATTGTTGAAAGCTGACATAAACTCTCTGCAGATGAGAATATTCTTCACAGAGGAGTAATGGAATGCCTGGCTAAAAGGAAGTTTTCAGAAAGACAGATTTCCTGGAGGCAAATATATATATATATATATATATATTTTTTTTTTTTTTTTTGACAAAATGATGACAGATAAATGTTTTCTTTTGGTAATTTTCAAATTTTCAACCCATTTGCTTAATATAAAATTTTAATACCGCTATATATATGTGTGAAAAATATGCTTTAATGTCTAGCACTTACACTGCAGGGAAACATTAGCATCAAGATCTTATTCCCTTTTCATATAACCAGAGCTTGGTGACATCAGTGTGAATTATAAACCACATGATCTAATATTCTGGAAGCAAATGCTTCAGCTATTTCTTGTAAACTGGAAAATCTGGTCCAAAAAAACTGTTATGAGTTTTAGATTCCAGGTTTTATAAGAAAGTATAGGGTTATCTGGTAGTCATTTTGTCCCACTGCTTCTCTTTGATTATGTACTGTAATTAATGTCATTTTTTTTACTCTGACATATAAAAAAATCATGCAATGTTCATTGCAAAAATAAACAGTAGTGTATTAGGAACAATATGTAGTCTGGCAACAAGGTAACGAGGTAGGGTTTCTTGGAAAACTTATGAAAACAACTCTAATTTACAACACATTACATGTCTGAAATAAGAATAAACACTAAGGCTATTGCTGCATGGGGGAAAACAAGCATAACAATAATAGGAAAAACACAGAAATTTCTTACTTGCCATGTTATATTTTGACATAAATAAATACTATTAGATTGGACATTGAAAATAGTTTGGGGAACAGACAAAGGTGTGTCGACATTCTAAATTATCAAGAGATCTCTTGTATGAGAAGTAGGGTCATAGAATCATACAAGCCTGGGCCCAAATCAGAATTATAACAGATCATGCCACTATTCTGATGATGAGATCATGTTGGCCTAGGTACCATGAAGCAATCAGTAGGTGTCACAAGCTTGACTCATAAATCAGATTGCAATATCACTGATCACTTTGATCCTTTCCATGATGGATATCTATTGTGTTACATCCATCGAAGTGTAATTCCCAATGATTGGTTAGATTCCTGCTATGATCAATTTGTGATCCTGATTAATTTATTCTGTGAATATTTATTTCACCTCCTGTAGGTGGTAAGCCTGCTGGAAATACACCAAATGGCCTATCATTTTTCCAGGTGTTCAATTTAAAGATATTTTTTAAAAGCCTAGATATTAAAATCATAATTCTTTTCAAGATGAACAGAAGCCATGAGTCAACTATGTACTGGTTACAGAATGGATATATATGAATGTAGAACCAACATGGAGAAGAAACCAGTAGTTTAACATTTCCAAGATTTAACAGAGAATGTCTTAAATCTAGCGGTATCTGAATATGGATGCAAAGTGAGACAAATATACATAGTGGTATTAGTGTCTTATATGATAAATGGATCTGAGACTTTTCCTAGCCCTCATCCCAGCCTACGAGAAAATCAAAGAGCAGCAAGTTATAGTTTCTTGTTCTATCAAAAGGACAATGTCAAAGAGAAAAAAAAGAGCTCATTACACATTAAAAGATTTCCTACCAAAAAAGATAACTATACACCAAATATCAGTTTTTAAAAGAGAAAAAAATTCTAAGTATGATTGCTTTTAAACTCCTGCTTTCAAGAGTTATAAAAGATGTTGCCTCTTTCTCCTTCTAAAGGTCTTCTTTAAATCCTTAATTGAAGACAGACATTTGTGTATATTTCAAATGTGAAATACAGATTACTGAAATCATTATAATGCATCAAAGAGTTCAGCTCATATTTTAATGCCGGTTTTCATGACAATTTCATTTCTTAGAGGCTTGTGTCACACACACACACACACACACACACACACAATTTGTGATATCACTTTCTAAAAGTTAATTACCAGTTGTCCCATATGCACAAAGAATTCCCATAACAACTGACATTGCAAAGGTATTATCTACCTATTCAAAATTATGATCAAGTCATTCTCCATCAATATTTACTTAGATTTCCACAAAAGAGAAAAATATATAATTAGCTCCATTTTTAAAGATCATATTTACTGTACTTGACAGAGTATCTATTCTAGTTGACAGCTCATAGACAGTGCATTAGAAACAAACCTGACTATTTGGCATCACACATATACACGGGGGCTTGAATTCTCCTATTTATGTAAAAGATTTACTGTAACTCAGTCATGGTTGTTTTAGTATCAGTTACTTACCTATGAGACAGAAATTCTACCATCACTGTAAATGCCATTTAATGCTGAGATGAAAAGTGACATAGAAATGAAGAGAAATTTGTCTAAAAAGTTTCAGAATACCCAGTCTTGTTTGTCTTATCATGCTCATATGTTAGATAGTCTATTTGATCAAGTATTATACTATTATAAGCTTCCACTATCTACTTGTTTGTTAGCAACTAATATTTATCTATTTGACATACTGTTCAAAAAAGGATCTTTTAAGGGTCAAGAACTACAATGTTGGATCTTTGTGGCCTACTCAGGTTATGAGGTTCTAGTGTTTCCAGGTTGGTAAAGTCAGTTTTCTCAGTAGAGTGGGCAGTCCTGAGAGCCCAAAGAGTCTCGCCCTTCTTTCTTCATATGGAACTCCCTCTTGTAATGGAAACATGGTGTGGGTCTCTGCATGAACTTTTCCAAGGTAACAGAAGGAAATTGTGGCATATAGCCTGTCGTAGATGATAATCTATTACTTCCTGTGTGAATGGAATGCAGTCGTAAGCAAGAGACTACAATGCATTCTGATATGGTGCACTGGACAGAGAGAAAAATATATGTTCACTCATGGAAACCAAGTTCTGTCTTGCTCAAGTTTCATCACAAAGAACTGACGAGCTTAAGGAGCAAACATGATTTTGGTCATTTGCGTGAAAATGCCTTTGCTTTTATATACTTATCAAAGGCACATATTTATAATTAGTCATATTTTCAATTACTCTACTTAAAAAATAATGTACTTTCAAATGACCCAATTTGAGGGCTTGAGTAAATGTCATTCTTAATGATAACACAAATCATACTTAGCGTAAATTCTAAAATGTGAGCAAATAAAAAATAAAAATATGTTGCTGCTGTCTGTAATGAAACTTTATTGGGCCTTGTTTGGCAGAGCAACATCACTCAGGGCTGGCACACTCACAGAGCTGTCTCAGGGGAAGCCGTGGGATGAACTCTTGACGCCATGCTTTTCTACCTCATGTTCTCATTTATGAGTCTCTTCGGCAAGGCAAGTGACGGACTCCAGTGCTTTTAAGTCCTTCTTTTAAAAGGTTGTGAAAAGAAGTTCAGAGTGAGGACTGAACTTTAACCTCAGCGGCATAAACTTTTTTCACAACAGAACCCGACCGGCATTACCCTTTAGCTGTGATGCTCTGTTCTCCAGTCATTTGGTCTTAAAGCCAAAGGGCAAATGCTACGTAACCAAAGTCTAACTTGGACATTTTTATTGTAGGTGCCTCCTAGGACACGTTATTCCTTCTCCTAATTTTGGACTACTATGCTTAAAGTCAGATAAAAACCCAAAGTTTAATATGTATTCCCATTAGACAGCTCTTTTGCTCCTCCCCCACAGGTTCATTTTGTAACAACAGAAAGGAAACACTCACTGTCAATAATAATGATGAAACATTTAAAAGCCTGAGCTATTCAAATTTAAGAATAATAGCTTTTTGAAGGTATGTTGCATTTCACTATTTCTTGCTTACTATTAGGAATATTCTACATAGGGAATGATCTGATCATATCATTACATGATTGCATGATTAATTTTCATGTTCCCTAGTTGCATATTATAGATGTTGAATAAGTTCATTTAATTGACATGAACTGAATTTTATCTACAACCAAAAGGAGAACAGAATGCACTGGTCACTATATAGAACCTTAGGATAAAAACAGTATGCATTATTTTCACTTCTATTGCTGAACTGTTACATCCTTTTGGGTTTAAATGCTTTTATAGATTAAGCTGGATGTCCACTTACTTGCAAAATATATCTTCACTGTCTTTATTTATAATACAATGCCCTCCATGGCACCTTATACATTTGTCAACCTCACATTTTGGACCTTCATAGCGTGTTGGACAGACACAGTCAACACTTCCGTCATCGCCAATGGTACAGGATTCAGAATTCACACAGTAGTGGTGACACACATCTAGGAAGAATGCACAACAGAGAAAAAGAAATTATACTACAAGATGTTTTTCTTTAGTCATAATCCCTGTTGTCATTTCATTTGGTATTTAAAGACGGTGAATCATTAAGCAAATATAAAAATAAGTAAATTAATCAAAACATCTAAGTATTAAAAAACGGCCAGTCAGTAAGTAGATTAATTTACAAAATCAGCTTGTGATTAAATGTAACTAGGATTCTTTAATAATGCTATTGATTCCTCTTTTTGCCAGTCAGGCGTCATTTCATCTGCTAAAAAAAGGTAAGTTATATTGATATCATGCTAGCTGAGGAAGTCTTTTGGTTCTGAATTTTAAAGTTTAAGTTCATCAGGTTCCATGGTTTCCTTCTCATGGGCAATATTAGTATTATTCTGAAATGAGCAGAAATACTCCAGATTTCTTTGGATGTCATTTATTGTTTCCTTTCCTTGCACTTTTTTCATCTGGAGAACAGGGTAGTATGTGATGAGTGGGGGACTCCTACCACCGCATCAGCCCTTTGTAGTGCAAAGAAGCATCCCTCTACACACAGCAGAAGAGGCCCACTACTTCTGAACACCTGGGCAGGTGAGCAAACAAGGAGATGTGCCTCTCATGGAACACCAAGAGAAAAGCGAACCAGGCAACTGATCCATCATGGGTGGGAAGTTGCAGAGGTCTAGGTTATTGTTCCCCTTCTAGGTAAGAACCTAACATCCCAGTCAGAGGGAAAACCTCCATGTGATGTGAGTCTTTTGTTTGGAAAGATGTTTCTTATTGAACACTATAGACAATTTTCTCAACTACAAATGACTTCCTCAAATATTTCTATACCTCTTGAATGGGAATAATAAAACAAAGACCATGTAATAATGCAATAACCACACTATCTTTATAATTAGACATTCTGACTCGGTCTTTTGAAATGCAGACAAGTATATATGTACGTTTGTATATCAACATGCTACAATTTATCACATTCAAAATATTGGAATTCATAATACAATAATCCTAAGCAAAAGAACTGATTAGATCAGTCTCAGACTTTGTGTTTAGAAGCTGCAATTTCCTTTTAGCTAACTAATTGTGAAGCAATTTTAAATGTGATTAGCTGAGATAAAAATCTCAATTTATAAACTTTAACCTGCTGTAAGACAGTTATAGCGGGTGAGGAAAATTAAAATGTAATTTATAATTCTCATGTTTGTATATTTATCTAGCCCTTTATTAAATCAGACAGAAATTAAATTTATTGACAGGCTGCTTCATATTTATGGAAATTTATTTCAAGCATTCTTATGCTTGCTCTTGCATTATGCCATGTACCCTCATTGAGATTCAGCGCTTAAGTCTATTAGCAAGGTTTTGGCTATATTTTAAAAAAGTAGCACTTTCAAAAGGTGAGAGACTTGAAGATCTAAAAACTAAGGCGGTGTTAGTATCTATCCATGATGGTGTCTGTTTACAGTTGCTCCTGGCTTGGTGGTTAGAGAGCACACATCAGAGACTCTGTTTTTATTTATGAAAAACATATGATCAGCTGTCTATATGAGCTTCTCTTCCATTCAGTGCAGAAATCTCTAGAAAACAACTATCATTAGCTCAGGTTGTTCAATACATCTTACTGACAAAGAGCTCTTTTCATATCACCCCCCAATTGCTTTAAATGCCATAATCTGATCCTGGTTCAACTGTCTGATGGGGCATAGACATTGGCTTGTGTATCCTTCTAAGATCTTCTTAGTACGTCCTTATCCATAGTGGATAACTCATCAAAATCATGTAGGTGACTTATTTGCAAATGTAAATTCCAGTGCTCATCCCTGTCACTACTGCCCACTCATGCCTACATTCTAATTCAGGAATCTGAAATGGGGCCCAGATGATTTCCATGTGACTGGTTGAGGAACTAAAATCTGGGAACTGGGGAATATAAGAAATGATGACCCAGAAACAAATTGTACTGATTAGCATAGGGACTACTTTGTTCAATAGTTGTAAAAGGATTTGATTCAACCAAAATAGCTTCTTTCTTCATTTTTTCCTTTCTTTCTTTCCTTCCTTCCTTCCTTCCTTCCTTCCTTTCTTTCTTCTTTCAAGAGAGTGCGTGAGCAGGGGTGAGGGGCAGAACGAGAGGGAGAGAATCTTAAGTAGGCTCAATGCCCACTGCAGAGTTAGTTGTGAGACTCAATCTCATGACCCTGAGATCATAACTTTAGCCTAAATCAAGAGTTGGCAATTAACCAACTGAGTCCCCCAGGTGCCCCTAAAATAGCTTATTTCTTAACTAACTTTGTGATCCTTAGTTAAAATGCAATTTTTAATCCAAAATTTAGGGCCATTTTATTTTTATGATGACATCACTGAGAAGACCTGAGAAACTGGAAAAACAATTGGGTTAACATTCTGATGTTTGATGATTGCCCTGTAACACACTGTAGCAAGGAATACCTCTCATTTGCCTGAAGTGCTAAAGGGTAAAGTTAAATACTCACCTACAATTTACTAACTATAAGTAATTTTGGTGCATGGATTAAGTCTGCCTTAGGCTAAGATTAAAAAAATGTGAGAATATATGCAACTTATTGGTGTTCAAAGAAATACAAATTACTGTTGCCTGGGTGGCTCAGTCAGTTAAGCGTCTGACTTCAGTTCAGGTCATGATCTCATGGTCCTGGGATGGGACCCCACACTGGGGTCTGCACTCAATGAGGTATCTGCTACTCTCTCCCCCTCCTCTCATGCTTGATATTTCTATCTCTCTCTATATATATTTCAAATAAATGAATAAAATCTTAACAAAAGGAAATGCAAATTAATACCTCAAAGATATACCGTTGCACTTCAACTTAGTTGACAACAAATAACAAACTCTCATACACTACTAATAGAAATACAAATTGGTTCAACTGATTTGGAAAATGATTCACAGTAGGTACTGTCAATTAGTAGATACTCTATTTGAACATACCCACACCTATTGACCTAGCACTTCCACTCTCAATATATATCCAAGAGGAAAGCATGAATTTGTGCAAAAAAAAATATGTATGTAATATGCACAGCAACCTGTGCACAGAATCAGCCCCAAACTAAAAATAATCCAAATGTTCATTGCAAGAAGAAAGGATAAACTGTGGTTCATTCACACAAAGAAATATACACACAAATATATGTATACATACACGTAAATAAAAAATGAAAGCAGTACAGCTTATAAGTAACAACATCGATGAATCTCACAAAAGTAGTAAGCGAAAAAAGCTGGACAGAAAAATATATACACTATTTTTTAATTTACATAAAGTTCAAAAGGCAAAAGTAATCTAGGGTTTTAGAAGTCAAAAAGAACTTATTTTGGGAGAGAAAGGAAGGTATAGTGAGAAAGACCATCAAGGAGCATCTGAGGTACCAACAGTATTTATTCTTGACCTGGGTGTTGGTTCACGCTGCTGTGTACACCTGGTGATAATTTATTGAACTGTAAACTTGTGCTTGAACTTTCCTATTTATACTATGCTTCAATAAAAAGATTTTTTCTAACCTAATGGCAAATAAACTACAATTACAATATTTTAGAGATTCAAGTTAGTTTGTAACTAGAGTAAACAGGTTTTCTCTTTATAAACAGTTCTATTGAAAGGAATTCATGATCTACTTTTTATGCTTTAAAGAAAATTCTCTACCCTTTAAAGCTTTCAATATTTATTTCCTAGCATGTCAGATGCACAAAATTCAATGCAGTTGATTGGCCTCATGGCATAAAAGTGGAATCGAAAGAATGTAAAAGAAATGTTTACTTAAGATAAAATTGTGAAATAAGAAGATATTAGAATTTGCACTTTAATAAATAATTCTAAATTGCATGCTGTTAAGCCATGCCACTTTCTTCCTTCTAAAAAAGACAGAAATCATTTTAGACTCAGAGCCCTTTCTCTACAGATATTCAAATGGGAGATACTTCATTTTCCCCAGTTCACATGCTTCACACTTGACACTATGTTGAAATTCAGGGACAGAGATTCGCTCACTATCCCCGCTCACTATACTCTGACCCTGTCAGTGTTGCTTCCCAGAGCCTTTCTTTGAAAATGTTCTGACTATCTCCCACTATTAGGCTTCAGATGTGGAGCATATGAACTCACTTGATTTATATGTTCAGCTGGATTGTTTTCTGCACCACTATTAGGATTCTAGGGCCCAACCCTTGGCATGCATAGTCTCTCTTCCTCTCCTTCCTCTGTCTCTCTCTGTCTTAAAGACTTCAGTATACTCAATTCTCACTCCAATATTCCTTAACACAGAAGAAAGTAACCTTATTTAATAGAAGACTTCGTCATCTGCTATTTAAACTTCCACATAAGCAGAGCACCTGGGTGGCTCAGTTGGTTAAGTGTCTGCCTTTGGCTGAGGTCATGATCCCAGGGTCCTGGGACTGAGCCCCACATTGGGCTCTCTGCTCAATGGGGAGTCTGCTTCTTCCTCTCCCTCTCCCTCTGCCTTTCCCCTGCTTGTACTCTCTCTCTTTTTAACAAATAAATAAAATCTTAAAAAAAAAAAAAAACCTACCATGTAAGCATTTGATACTTGTAAATTGGAAAGCAAAATAATCCCTTCAATTGTTCTCTGTTATTTCAATTTTATTCATGACACATATCATGGAAAAAAATGGTACATCTGATTGTGCTATTTCTAAAATGGATGATTCAACCAAAGTTCATGTTCTCTGCAATCATCTCAGTATAGGACAACAATGGATAATAAGTCAGTGGAGAGTGACCTAACTTCTCTCTCATTTTCTTCTCAGCTTTAACCCACTTTGAATTATAAACATCTATACAAAACTTGTATAAATACGTGCAATATTTTCACCAGTGTCACCTCTCTATATACTCCCAAATAATTACTACACTCTCATATTTAAATTCTCTTTCTTCATATTTTTATCTAAGAAGAAGAATACTTCATTGGCACTTTCTAATCCAGCAGAAATTTAGTG